GTTTTGCAAAACAAATTTTAAAAAATTTCTTTGCAAAAAATAAAAAAAAAATGCTTATGAAAAAACTACTACTCCCCAAAAAAAACCCCACTTCCCTATCCCACAATCTTTTTTTCAGAACATTCCATTTGACAAAAAATTTATTCAGGTACAGGTGCACCCAAAAACGTTACAAATTATCATACCCTAACAGAAATGTGTAGATTACCTAGGGGAATCCAAAATTCAGAAAAAGTAACTTATTTAATTTGGTGCCTTATAATTTTCTTGGGTTTTTTAAAAAACCCTTTAATGTTAAAATAGCTTTTCAACATATTTTTTTTTTTCCCTTTTGCCCTATGGGGGAAATGCAAAAATCACAGGAAAATTTAAAATTTACCCTTGGGAAAGGGAGGTTTAAACCGGGCCCAAATTTAAACCAGTGATTTTTAAAGGGTTTCTCTCGGCCCCCCCATTGCAGAATAGATCTGAAATAAAATTTTTCGAATTTGACGCTTATTTTGTTTCGTTTACTTTTCAGGGAATATATTAAGACCATGTTTCTGATATTTTGGATCTGTATTAGGTTTCCCTTTACTTAATTTGGGTTTGGTAAGGATGTCAGGAAACCCGGGCAAGCGATTCCCCGACAAAGGGTTTTAATTTATATGATGACCTTCCCCTAGGAGCTTTTGGTCATCTGACCGAGGCCTTCCTCTGGCTTGCCCTGCCACGCCTTTAAAAATTATGGTTAAAAATTTTAAACCCTTTTGTTATACCATTGGGAGGTAAGACACATAGGGAACCCGTTAGGCAAAAATTTTTTTTGAAAAAGTTTGTACACAGTAGGCTTTTTTCAGTCGAAAACAGGGAAAAATTTTTCAGGAAAAGTAGAGATGTGAAGACGATTAATCCGTTTTTCACCCCTTTAAAATCGTAGAATTTTAGGTTTTTCAGTCCCTCGGCCCGGAGAAAGTTCAGTTTTCCCTGTCAGGGAAAATTTTCTTAAAATCAAGGGCAGCGTGGGGGACTTAAAAATGTCGGGAAAGGGGAGGTGCAGAGTATATTAAATAGTTTTCGTGGAAAGTAGCCACTGAGAAAGGGCAGGCCCTCCAGAACCAAAAAGGGGGTTCTCACTTCAAAGGGGTGCAAAAGGGCCGGTTTTTCCCGTACCAAGAGGCCCTGGGTTGGGAGTGTCTGACAAGGAACATGAAAATGGTATAAAAAATACCGACCGGGTTTTTTTGGTAAAAACAAAGGCAAAAAGTTAAAGGGAATTTTTTTTAAAACGTTTGCCTACACAGTTTGGCTTTTTTCAGTTTGAATACAGAAAGTAGGCAGGAACAGAAGCCTACTGTGTAGGCGAAGCGTTTCGGAATAAAAATTGGGCCCAACTGTTTTCCTATTGTCTTTTCCTACCCCAAACCCCGGGAATTTTATACCATTTTTATGTTCCGGGGATACGATTAATTTAAATGCAGTGCAAGGCCCAAAAAAAAATTCTCTTAAATGGCCCAAGAAAAATTGTGTAGGCAAGAGCAAAAAAAAAATTTTTTTGTTGCTACAAAAGATGAGTAAATCCCATTTTTATATTTGGGAATTTATGCTTCCAAAATCCTAAAAAAATCCTTTTTTTTTGGGGGAAAAAAAAAAACCCGTGCTTAAAAAATTTGAAACCAATATCCCAAAAATTTCGCAAGGAAATCGAAATCCCAATTTGTTTAATGAAAAAAAAACACGTGTATGGATTTTTATAATATTTTTTTCTACAATTTAAAAGATACAAATTAAAACCCGGGCCCAAAATGCATCAGGGCACAATTAAAAAAATTGTGGAAAAATTGTTTTTTTACAATTTTCCCGAATTAAAGTACTATATGTACAAACATAGACCGTTTTAAAAAGTTTTGTTTGGCAGTTTTTGGTTTAAAAGCAGTTGGGGAAAAATTCCCCGGGATATTTTGGGGGTAACAATTCGTAAAATTAAAATTTAACCCCTGTTTCATTTTCGGAGGGGAAAAAATTTGGAGGCATGTGTCCACGGGGTACACTTAATAGAAATTCCCCCCTTTTGCAGAGCAATTCCCCAAATAAGGTTTTTGGGCCACAGGGTTTCGATCCCACCAGGGCTACAACACCCCGGGGACCCCACTTACTGTAGGGCCAAAATGGACAGCAAAGGTTTTCAAAGCCAAGACGACCGACAGCTTCGCGAGAGTGGGAACATGACTTTCCTTTTTGGCCCCCCAGAAAAGATTCCCGGGCCCCCAACACGATTCGCTAGTGATTTTTAAAAGTTTCCCAAATAAAAAAACATCCCTTCAGGAAGGGGGCCTTTACACCCAAAGGGAAAGGGTCTTGATTTTAGGGAAATGGGAGCTATCCTTTTTCCTTTTTGCGACCCCCCATAAAAGAATTTAAGAAAGGGAAGGGCACTGCAGTAGGCCTGTTGGCCCCCCAAATGGGGAGGTTTTTCACAAATCCAAAACCCCCTAAAAAATATTTGCCCCCAGAGTACTTACCCAACTCTAATTTTTTTATTCTATTAGTGTGTAGATGCCTATGGTTTTTATTTTATTAGGGGTTCTTTAATTTTAAAAAACATTTGGTTTGCACCGGAAAATTTCTTTTCTGTATTGTGCCTTTTTTTTCCCCCCCCCCCGTATGTTAATTTTTACACATTAAAAAATGGGTACGTGAAAGGGGGGTCCCCCTAGTTCGACCCTAGCGCAAACCCGCTCACACAAACAGTTTTGAACCCAAAGGGGGAAAAATTAAACGAAAAAAAACCAAAACCAACGGAAAAACAGCAAAAAAACCAAGGGGCTTCGGGGTTCGACCCTTAAAAAAACCTAATTTTTTAAAGGGGCCCCCCCCAACCCAACGGAAAAACCCGAAGGAGCGCTTTCCATACCCCAGCCCCCCACAAATGGAAAATGGCAATGAGCTTTTCCCCCGGGATCCCCCCAGTGAATTGGGGAAATTTGAATTAAAACCCCAATGGCAAAAACCTTAGGGGTTTTTCCCTTAACACCCAATTCCCCTTTTTTAAAATTCCCTTAGTTAAAGTTAAAGGGTTTTTATTTAATTTTTCCCCCGGGACTAAAAACCAATTTGTAAAATTTTTAATTTAAAAAAAGAAAAGCCTAGGGGGTTTAATTTTTTTTTGTAGTAAAGGGGTTTTTAAAACCTTTTACATGACCAAATTCAAAAAAAAGGAAAAAATTTTTACAACTTTGACAAAGGGGTTTTCCTTTCATGAAAAAATTTTAAAAACCCAAAAGGACTGCCAAAGGGAGGAAAATCAAAAAATTTTTACGAAGGAAAAACTTAAACGTTATAAATCATTAACCTTTAAAATTTTTTCAATTTTTAAAAACATGCCTTTTTTTGGGGAAATTTAATTTTGAGCTAAAAGGTTTAAAGAAATTCCCTGGAATTTAAAACTTTAAATAGAAAAAGTCCCTTTTAAAATTTTAAATTTTTAAAATCCTGTAAAAAGGAAAACCCAAACGATAAAATTTTCCCCCAAATTTTTTTTCAAAAAATAGTGGGAAAGGAAGATTGGGGAATCAAATTTTAAATGACCTTTAATCTTTAAAAAGGGGAAAACAATTTTTTAACAATTCCCTTTTAAATTTTAAACCCTATTTTTTAAAAGGGGGGGCAAACCAACAGAAGGTCTGAAGTGACCAAAAGGGAAAAACGTGCAACACAGTGTGGCGAAGCTGAACCATGTTGAGTGCTGTATTTCGTGGGGTGATGAAATACTACTTATAGCTCTGTCATGCTTATACTGCTATAAGTTTACCTATACCTATGCCTGTATCTTGTTCGTGAAATATTTAGTAGATACATAAATGTGTCTTACATCGGAAGAGCTTCAGTGAGAAGGGTTGGTGCTGGCAGGACACTTTACTAGAAAGAGCTCCCTGAAACATTTCAATATTTTTATTTACCATCCGTGTGAAAAAAAGGCAGATAATCCCTCATGCAGATAAAATTATTGCCCAGTATTATCTTTTTGAAAAGATGAGTGGGAGGCCAGATGGGCTTAATCATATTTTAAATGACTGAATCTTGAGAGACAATACAAGTTATTTGAACATATCCTGGATATAATCAAACCCATATTTTTTAAAAGGGTGGGCCGGTAGGCCAGCAGAAGGCCTCTGTCAGATGACCAAAAGCTCCAGCTGTGGATCAACATATGACTAAGACCCGTGTGAGGAAACACTGGTCCTGTTTCCAGACAAACTTTACCTAACCTATGTGATAAATGGTTTAAAAACCGACAAGTTAAAGATTGAGACACTTATGCAAGATATGGGAATCTTTATTGAGGAAACGTTTCACCACACAGTGGCTTCATCAGTCCAATACAAAGCAGAAAGGTGTAAGGAGGAGGAGGAGTTTGAGGTAATCAGTCCCTCAGCCTGGAGTCGATGTGTTCAGTCCATCACCTTTCTACTTTACCTAACCTAACTTAGTGCATGTTGATATGCAGAGTAAATCCTCCAAATAACTACACAAAATTTTTGTGTATGGATCTGTTACTGTACTCAGCTAAATTATTACATCCATGAAGAATCTCTAAACCCATCGGGGCAATAAGGTGTTTGGAGACGGAGGGTAATCAGTAGATTTGAAGAATGGAGGGGGAGAGGTTTGCTCCAATTCCCTGAATCAAGAGCCCATCAGGGGGTATATAACCAGTTTAGAAAGACACTAAGCAAACACTAGTACACATTAGAAGTTTTGGGTAAAGGGATCATTGTCCCGTAATTTTACAAACATTATTACAGCACCTGGAAAATATGGGGAAATAATGTTTGATTCAGTGGCAAGACACCTATCTCCTAAGAACATACGAATGAAGGAACACTGCAGGAGGCCTACTGGCCCATACAAGGCAGGCCCTTATCAAAACCTACCCAAGAATTTATGTTATTGCTATTCTCACTGCTGAACAGCGGTTTAGTGCCAATGAAGGTAGCATAGGTAGCAATGATACAGCAGTGGACTAGTTTGGCTTTAATTGGGTAGGAGTGAGTACACAACGGGCAGTGTGAGGGAGTGACCGCAAGCCAGTCCGTGGAGGGGGAGCACTTGTGTCTGTCAAGTCGGTCGGCCTAGGAGTGAGAGCGGCTGGGCTGAGCCTCCCACTGACCTGGGTGAGCCTACAGAGGGCAGCACCTAAATGCCGCGAAATATGAACTAGTCAGAGCAGACGGCTAGGCTGTGTGTTCTGACAGTACAGGCTGTCTACATTTGCTCGGCCACGCACCTCGCGTCGTCCTGACGCGACAATACTGGTGGGCCCGTAGGTATAAAGGAATTACGTACACTAGCTACCCCAGAGAGGGACTGGCTTTCGCTCACTAGTAAATAAAAAATGGACATAAAAATGCAACAGGCAAAAAAAAACTCTCCCAACCAGAGGAAGAGAAAACTGGTTTGCCCCCGCTGTTTCATCGAGGAGAGAGTCCGGAGACGTCAGCACTGGAACTAAAATCTTCTATATACAGGTTATCCGCAGGGCTGAACATCAGTTGACCACTCGTCTACGAACGTTGTTGCACCCTCACATCTGCAAACAATGACTGACAGTAGCATTTCCTAAGGTGTGACATGTGACTCAGAGGGCAGCACTGCCCTGACCGTAATACAGGCTCTTTTTTTATATATAAAAACACTGGGTGCACATACCTACAATAATACTATATCCATGGAATTTATTACACTCTGGGTACCCTTCTAAAAGTATTTACATAATTACATGATGTTGTCCACCCTGACTCCATTATCGACTAGCTATACAATGTGTGTGCATTTATACCCATTCCTCCAAGCAAACAACTAGCATAACTAGCGTAGGAGTCGGACAAGTCAGTAGGTACGTCAATGTCACAGAAATGTACTGTTGTCCTGGGTCGCAGGCCATAAGTATGGAGCCTTACTGGGCCGTCTTCCGTACCAGTAGTAGTGGGAGAAGGGATAGACGGGTTGTCCCTAGCATTAGTCTGATTGTGGCGTTGCAACGCACGTGCCTCCAGCTCTACTTCAGCCTGCATATGGTCCACTTACTTCATGTGATCAAGGTGGGCTTCCTTGGTAGTTCCCGTAGCAATCTCCCTCACCTCGAACTTATTGCCTCGGAGCTGTCGTAGGACACGGTAAGGACCCACAAACTTTGGGACAAGTTTGTGCATACCTGGGGTCTGCACTGGGTTGAGCAACATAACTTTGCAACCTGGTTCCACTTTGCTTTCCTTGGCGCGGGCATTGCGCTCAGACGTGAACCTATCAGTAGCTTTCATAAGGTTCTCTCGTACCCGCTGGAAGACAAGCTGCGTTGTCCTCATCTTTACTACACTGGGGTTATCAGTATCGTAAGTAGGTCTAGGTGGAGCAAACAGAATTTCATATGGTAAGCGCTTGTCATAGCCATACAAAGCAAAATGAGGTGTCTCACCGATCGAGCTGTTGAGGGAGGAATTTAATGTGCACTGAACATCTGGGATAGCCTCATCCCATGTAGTACAACTTGGGTTAACGGTTACTCTGAGCACCTCCAGGACTTTGCGATTTGTATGTTCAGCAAGACCATTACTCGCAGGGTGGCGTGGAGCTACTGGCGCTTGATGAATGTTGAATCTGGAGCAAAGATCCTTGGTTGACCACCAAATCCTTCAGAGGAACGGGAGACTTGACCTGTAAGTCAACGTCCTCCTTGGTCAGGAACGAAGGACTGGAGACCAACACAGGTCTGTCGTTGGGCTCTCCTCGAGATCTCTCAACAGCGAACGAATTCCGACACTCACGAATGCTATATGCCTCGACAGGGCATCAGCTACAACATTTGCTTACCTGGGGACATAGCAAAATTTCAGGGTTGTAGTCATTCAACTGAGGACCACCGAGATGGTTTCCGGGGTTTTATTCGCAATAAAGTGGTCAATAAGGGTAAATGATCTGTGTAATCTTGATGGATAATGGATAGATGATTCCCGAAAATGGACCCGGGCCATACAATGGCTTAAAGCTTCTAGCTCTGTCACTGAATAATGACTTCCACTTTAGTAAACGAACGGCTTGCATAGGCAATAGGCCCGTGTTGCTTACCTAGATTCCTGTGACAAGGACTGCACCGATGCCACTATTGCTGCATCAGCGTCAAAGTAAATGCCTTGGTGAACATAGAAATCTAGGGTTGGGCTGATTTAAACTGTTTTAAGAATGACAACAAGCTCGTTTCCTGATCCAGGTCTCACGCAAAAGGGCCATATTCTTGAGTAATGCGTGTCAGGGTGCAGCAATGGTGGAGAATCCTCGAAAAGGTGCGGTAGAAACCCGCCAGGCCTTGAAGGACCGGACTGAATCCGGGGTCATGGGTCTGGGATTTGCTGCACGGCCGAGATTTTAGACTGACCGTTTTATGCCATTCTGAGTCATACGTGACACAGAAATTTTATTTTCTTCCGAGGAAATGACATTTGGAGAGCTTTACCTTAAGGTTTCCTGAGCTAGCCTGTCCCCTAAACCCTGTCAAGTTTCTCAAATGTGGGGGGACAACTTGCGACATGCTATGAGATCATCCAGGTAGGACCAGAGCATGCCCCATAGGAGGGTAGGAAATTGTCGTCATCAAACGACTAAATGTGTATTGGCCTTCCGCGGACCGAATGCATCCTCCTGAACTGGAAATGCCATTTGGGTAGAGAAAGGCTGTCTAACTCTCTGCTCTCATCATCGAGGGGGATCTGCCAGAACCTTGAAGAAGATTCAAGAGTTGGAAAGACTTATTATCGCCGATGTTCTTGCAACAGGTCTTCAACTGGCAATGGAATGCGGTCCGGGTCGTACAGGCATTCAGATTCCGTAATCGATCACAGGGGCAGGTCGTCCTATCTTGAAGACAGAATAAGGGGAGCATTCCATGGGAAGGTGGATCTCAATAACTCATGCACGGAGCATCCGTTGCATGAGTTCTTCGGCTGAAGTACTCTTGCGCATTGTGGAGGCGATATGCAGGTAGTTAATGGGTTAGTACCTTTGTCAAGTTGAATTGGTGAAGATGCATGTGGGGTCAAACCCATTGGACTACCATTTGAGTGGACTGTAGAACGTGCACATGAGAATCTGGAGAAGTTTTGGGACCTTTCAGGATAGTCTGTCAAAGCTAGATCATCTTCCTGCACTGGCTGGAGATACGTAGACGCTGAGTAGTTGTAGACACTATGATGAGTCACGAGCTACTGTAGACGCTGAACTGAGCTGGCTTAGGGGCTAAGCCAACTGGGTTCCCACGTGGTTAAGCCAGGTAAAACTTTTTGGAGGAAACTGGAAGAACACAACACACATGGATGGCGAGATGGACGTCGTTGCATAGCATAGAAGGCTGTAGAGGAGGCTGGTGTGTTTACACGCTGATTAGGGTATAAACCAACCCCAGAGCTGCCTCTTGGTCACGCGTGGAGCCACACGAAGCCAACACACTAAATGACCTCACCTCTACTTCTTGTAGCTGAGAAGGGCGTAGGGACGCTGTAGGAGGCAGGAGAATAGTGCTGGAGAGTGTTGAAGAGCTGTAGAGAGGGTGATGAGGTGAACACGTGACTGCTAAGGCTGGAGATGACGCCGTGACGCCTATGTCCAGATTTTGTGGGAAAAATCTAGGACGAAGATCTATCTTAGGTCCCGTCAAGACGCTGAGAGTAACAGATAACTCTTTAGGCCAGCAGGTGCGTTGGATGACGACGGATGATGTTGACTGGCGTCGACCGATGGTGTTGACTGGCATCCACCCCTCCACCCTGAGTAGGCTCACGATGCCGTTGACTCCGCTGTCACCACTGTTATTGCTATTCTCACTGCTGAACAGCGGTTTAGTGCCAATGAAGGTAGCATAGGTAGCAATGATACGGCCGTGGACTAGTTTGGTTTTAATTGGGTAGGAGTGAGTACACAATGGGCAGTGTGAGGGAGTGACCGCAAGCCAGTCCATGGAGGGGGAGCACTTGTGTCTGTCAAGTCGGTCGGCCTAGGAGTGAGAGCGGCTGGGCTGAGCCTCCCACTGACCTGGGTGAGCCTACAGAGGGCAGCACCTAAATGCCACGAAATATGAACTAGTCAGAACAGACGGCTAGGCTGTGTGTTCTGACAGTACAGGCTGTCTACATTTACACCAGTACCCACGGGAGTGTGTGTTTAGAAAGGTTCCTAAATATTTTCAACCTGTAAAAGGCCACAAGTACACGTAATGTGGCATTTTATCGTGGCAACGTTTCGCTCTCCATGAGCTTTGTCAAGTCGTTACAAACAGTACATGGACACAGGGTATATATAGATAGTAAGCAGCAGCAGCAGTAGTAGTAGTAATACAATATGGTAGAACAATTAACTCGCACATGAGTAATAGAACATAAAAGCTATGACTTGGGTAACAAAAATAGGTTAGACAAATATTTCTATTGGAGACTGGATTAGAGAAGGTCTGTTTCAAAGTTCATTGTTCTACTACAACTTACATCACTACTACAACAACCACCACTAGCATTGCACCTCACTAAGACTGTATATACCCTGCGTGTCCATATATTTATCAATACATGGACACATATTAGTTGTACTTGTGGCCTTTTAACGCCCAAGTTATTTAATCAATAATACACGCTGGCTATTCCAAAGTTATATTCATCCACAACTTACTCATAACCTAAATAAGCTTATAATAGACAACAACAAGGCATAATACCGTGATTAGAACAATTCACAAGTAACCTGCACATTGGAGACAAGCTTACGACATTTCCAGACCCGAACTTATGACATGGTCGAAGTCGGTTCGAAATGCCGTCGTATGTTTCTCTATGTGCGGCTTATTTAAGTTTATAATATCAGTGATCAAAGGTTAACAGGAAATTATTAGAATTTAGAGACAATATTGGAACACGCGCAGGAGATTACCAACTAGTCCATGTACCCTAGTATCCAAGAACATGCTATTTTTTTTTATCTGTTTACCTATTTCCCATGTGAACACAAGAAGTAAAACGAGTGTATTGAAATCCAAGACAAGTGGCAGGACTATGTTGCTGCTTCTTTGCTTCTTTCAACAAACCAGCCGTATCCCACCGAGGCAGGATAGAACACAAAGAAAACTAAAGTTTTTCTAACTTTAGTAATGTATACAGAAGGGGTTACTAGCCCCTTGCTCCTGGCATTTTAGTTGCCTCTTATGACACGCATGGCTTACGGAGGAAGAATTCTGTTTCACTTCTCCGTGGAGATAAGAGGAAATAAACAAGAACAAGAACTAGTAAGAAAATAGCAGAAAACCCAGAGGGGTGTGAATATATATGCTTGTACATGTATGTGTAGTGTGACCTAAATGTAAGTAGAAGTAGCAAGATGTACCTGAAATCTTGCATGATTATGAGACAGAAAAGAGAGACCAGCAATCCTACCATCATGTAAAACAATTACAGGCTTCCGTTTTATACTCACTTGGCAGGACGGTAGTTCCTCCCTGGGTGGTTGCTGTCTACCAACCTACTACCACTGGGCGGTAGTGCCTACCTGGGTGGT